GTTTTCCTTTCTTGTAGTTAAAAAGACAAAAATGTGACTTAGAGGAGAAAACACTGACAAAACATGTGACACCATTAGGAACAGATTCAATGTCCTGTGTCTTAGTTTGACTTCTAAGGTGCAAAAATTCATGTTGGGAACAGTGCAATCAACCTTATATCTAAGTGAGGCAGGGAAATGAAGGAAGGGGGGGGACACACCTGTGTGGATCAGCATGGTCCTGCTAGAGTGAAGTCTGAGAGAGCACCCACAGCTCAGCCTGCAGGGAGCACATGGACCTGCTCACCCTGGGCTCGAGTGAGCCAGGGAATCCTGCTGGTGACACACCAGGGGGCTGGTGACACACCAGCTTCTGCCAGCTGTTCTCTGGCACCATCACTTTTGGCTGACTTCCCTGACCACAGGGAGAGGGGAATAGAAACGCTGCTCCCCCCCTTGCAAACGGACAACCAGACGTTTTCAGGGAGTTTGTGTGATGTTTTTGTTGAAGATATTTCTGCTTTGGATAAGCACATCTCTTAGTGTTCTTTGGGTACTGTGGTGACTTCTTCCGTAGCCTTTTCTTCTTGCATGTGGATGGTACGTGTTTGGGGAACCTTGTAACTGTTGTTGATCAGAACTCATCTTCTTAAGGTTTGGGTTTGACTTTTCATGCTACATGTATTAAAAAAAAAACAAACAAAGCACTTGAGAATTAAAAATATACCAACCCTGTACATCTCAGCTGTCATGTCTCTACCAGAGCTAAATGAGCCACATGTGTTGCAGGCTTCCAACCAGGCCTGATTCAGATTTGTTTCAGTGTTATTGCTCTTGATTTCTGCTGTGGATCCTCTGTTGTTCGGATGCCAGTTCCTTTCTGTGTTTTAACTGTTGTTTTACTACTTCTTCCCCTTTTCCTTCCCTTCCCTTTCTCCTTTTTTTCTTTGTTTCTCTTGTCTTTACACTCCAGCCGGCCGGGTAAGGCCAGTCCCTCCCGCCCAGAGAGCCCAAAACCACCATTTGACATGTAGGCCTGCTCCCTCTGAGACTCTTTGCCTGCCTCTTAGCTGTTCTGTCCTGGAATGGTCTGACTCCAATCTCACACATGGCTTGTTTTGTTTGTATTTTGTGACACACAAATCAGATGTGACTGTAGTGAAACTGTTTTGGGTTGCTTTTTGGGTTTTTTTTCTTTCTTCCCAGCTGCTTAAAGGAGTTAAAACAAGTATATTGTAGTCATGAGAAACATATCTTTACTGTTATAAATATCTATAAATATATATATATGAGATGAAAAATCTATATATGTCCAGGTGTTTAAAGCCATTTGTGCTTCCATGTGGATTTTAGGAAATACTTAAGTAGGGAAAAAATATCTATATACATATATATATATACACACACATCTAAGAAGTTAACCAAATCCTGATGTTGAGTTTTTGAGCTGATTGTTGAATTCTCTGCTGTGTGCAGTGGGGTTGTTGTATTACCCCAGACTTGTGGGTGAGCTGTCTCAGTGCTGGTAGTAGCTGTGATGCAGTTTGTGATCTACCTGTCACTCTTGTTTATTGGATGAAATAAACTATCATTTCTGTATAACAGAGGTCTCCATGACTAGAATAAAACTCTTTCTCTTGCTCTTTTCTCTGGGTGATTTTCAAACTGTGTTTAATGATAACCTAATCTTTTCATCCCGTAGAGCTTAAAAAGCTAGACATGCAAGCAGGTGCTTTCACTAATAGGGGAGGTGGAATAGATCTACATCAGTGATGTCCAGGAGCTGCAGTAGAGTGAAACAGCCTGTCAGAGCTGGAAGTCAATTCCCTTTCTCCGTTGCAAAGGAAAATGCAAAAAGGTTCTTCACTGCCTGGACATGCAGAAGGTGGGAGTTTTGCACACAATTGATTGGTATTTTTGCCTGGGCTGTTCAAGGGACATAAATTGGGTGCCCGAGTTGTAGTTTCTCTGTCAAGCAGTGTCCTTTAGGCCCTTCTCTGAAGTGCAGTCTCTCCAGTCTGGCACTCATGGCCAGGCTCCTGCTTGGAAGTTGCTTTTAAGCTGAAATGGGGGATTTTCTCCCCTGGTATAAACTGGGTAAACCTGTTCCTACTGTCTCAGTGCCAAACCAGTGAGTGCTCTGGGTTCCAGAAGATGGTTGCTGCTTGTCACAGTGACAACCATGTTTCTCCCTAACTCCTGGACTCAGACTGTCATCCCAAGGATTGCAGTGGATTCCTGGAGCCCCTCTGCCCAGGGCTGCAGCATTTCAGCAGGGAGAGACTGGGAGCAGGGGGGTTGCTGACCTAAGTCCCTGTGATACTGGTGCCTGATCTAGCCTGGGTTGCTCTGGTCTGCAGCTGCCTCTGGTACTTGTGCCATCTCCTTCTACCCTAAGTCAGGCTTTAGTCTAAAAATATCCTTGAAGATTTTATTCATAGTAGATACTGGTGTGGGCTGAGGGGACAGACTTGACCTTTAGTGCCTCTTTAGGAATTCCTATAGGAATTCCTTCCTCTGTCTGGCATGTTTTTATGGGTTGTAACTCCAGCTTCTACTGAAGCAAGGCAATCACCATTGCTTTCCCTATTTTCTATTTTATTTCCCTCTCTGGAACAGTTTCATCTGTCCCTGGTGTTATGTAGAGGGTTGTTCTTCAAGAATATTTTTAAGGTAAAATGTATTTAAGTAAATATTGGACACTTATTTTGCAAAACTAGAAACCTCTCATCTGCTGGTTATCAAAGATTAAGTACATTCTGAGGTTGCTAGCCTGCCCAGGGAAGATTAACTCCTCTATCCCCTGATCTTGTCAAACAAAGTGTCCTTTTCCCAGCACAGCAGCTCTTTCCTGTTGTGTTTATGGTCTGTAAGAAGCATTTTTCCATGTTTCCTCAGATCAGAGGTAAAGCAGTTTAAAGCCATAGTGTGTCAGCTGAGCAGTTCCTGCTTCTGTGTCACTCCCAAGTAAAAGTGGGGTCAGGGAAAAGGAAACAGGGTGAAAAATGAACCTTAGTGTAGGGCCTGGCTGTGAAACACCAGGAGAAGCACCTCAGGCTGGTCAGCTGCCTGCAGGAAACACTCCTGAAAGGTAAGGGACATGGAGCACCCAGGGCAGATGTTTTTAAGGAATTCTTCACTTTGTTTCTGGCCACATGTCAAAAGTGACCAGGGCAGAAGAAATGCATCTAGTCAGTGCCCATCTGAATAAGTTTATTCAGAAAGCAAATTTGTAACAGGATTAAGTCACCTCTGCAACAGACTGCAGCCTTTCCCATGGGTCTTGTCTCCTTCACAGTACAAGAGCAGAACATCAATAAATATTTATTCCATTTATAATAATCTGTATTAAATCACAGCCCTGCCCCCATGAGTCATGATACAGCTTTATGAACAGCCTGAGCAGGCAGAAACACTGCAAAAGGCTTTTGTCTCTCTTCAAAGAAATATACAGGATTTTACAGAGATACATTATGTACACAAACCCCTGCAGGCAGGAGCTTGGGAGCTTGTGGGACTTGTGCTAGTAACACCAGACACCATGAGCACCATTCCCATGAAAGGAGTTCACCAACTGCTTCCACCTTCCCCTTGTGGGTTCACAGGAAAGCACTAATTGTTCTGTGCACAGTTTTTCAGTTGGATATGGAAAAAATCAAAGTGAACAATTTTAAAAACCCCACCCACACTTAACTTGCTGGTGCCACTAGATGCAGAGTTTCTGCCCTGCTGCTGTACAGCTTGACCAGTTCAGACACAGAAGCAATGAATGGTCTCTCCTTCTGTTGTTGACAAACCCTGAAGTTGATTCTGTTCCTGTGCTTGCATATCTCTTGAACTTGCCAGGCTACCACAGGCTCTTGTGTTGGGATCACAGCTGTCAGTCACATCCCTGAACCTGCCCCTGCAGTTTTCCTTGTAACTCCATTGCTGAATCTAACCATCCTGGGAGCAGGCAGCTTGTGCCCAGGAGGCAAGGTTAGTTGCAGGATCTCCACACAGAGTTCAGCACTTCCACACCCAAGGGCTTTGCTTTGCTGCTGCTTCAGGGCACTCTCTCCTCCCACTGTTTCGTTTTCTCCTGGAGAATTAGGGTTGCAGCACCAGGTGGTCTCTCTGTTGCTGATGGTTCAGGAACTTAGGTGGAATGCAAGATCCTGAAGCCCCTGTTTATCTCTTTCACTCCTTCCCAAAATGGGAGAAGAGGAAAGTTAAGTAATGGAGAACTAGAAGCTCCTGGAGCCCAGAAATTCAAAACAAAGCATGTTTATTAAGTGGTTTCCTTTTACTTATTTCTCCCATTTTTTTAAATAAATAAAACCTTCAGACACATACAAGTCAAACACATCCTTCAAAGTGCAGAAACGTTTCCACCCCACCCCCAAGAATCACATAAAGCTTTGTCAAGTAACCAAAAAAAGACTCTAAAGGCAACCCTGGGTCTCTTCCCCAGCACCCAGAGCACAGAGAGCTGTAGTGCTGCAACTTTTGGCTGGTCAGGGCTGTTTCAGATGCAGTTGCAAGAGAAGCTGCAGAAGAAAGTGGGAAGATACCTAGTATGAAACAAACCCAACCTGTTAAGAGTCCAAAGAGTTTGTTACCAGAATAAGTTAGTTACTTTGGGAGGCCTGGAAGGAACTAGGCTGCTCACAGGTGTGAGTGAAGGATCAGAACTGCTGCTCAGTCCCTGCTGTGGTGCTGGCAGGAGGGGCTGGGACAAGGGCTTCAGTCATTTTGCCCAAAGTCACAGCATCTCCTGCCTCAGGTGAAGCACCAGCCCCTGCTCCCTCCCCGGGTTAGTTGGAGGCTGCCTGTGCTCCAAGCACACCAAGTAACAGAAGAAAAAGAAGGGGAAGGTGAGGTCTGATGCTCCAATTGGCTGATGCAATCCCTCTTTCCTGATGTCTTTAAGGTAGGTAACTGTTCTGACCAAGGGCACTCAGCAGAGGTATGGGCACACCAAGTCAGTTAAGTCCTTTCAGGCTCATAGAAAATTGCTGTCAATAAGACTTGAGCACCACTTAAACTACCATGATTTTGACCTCATCGTTCTCATCAGCACGGTAGAAGAAGGGAATGCAGGGGTTTTCCAGCAGGGAGCCCACCCTCTCCTGAGGGTTCTGGATTTCTCTGAGAAGCTGCATTATTTGCTTTGCTGTGGGGTCCTCTTGGCTTGGCTGAGCAGCTTTTCTGCCAACTGGGGGGAAACCGGATTGATGAAGAACAGGAGCCTCTTCCTCTGCTTCCTCTGATAGATTCACTTCTCGTAACCCTGTAAGGAACAGGGCAGGTGACTCTTCCCACCCATGCAGATACCTTGGGAGTATCTGATTTCCCAGGACCTGTCCTGCTGCAGCTTACCTTCTCCATCAGTGACGTTCAGCTCCATGTGCCTCTCCACGGGAAGGACACTTCCAGCCTGGCTGGCTGCCAGCTCTGGGCTCTGAGCAGCTGCTACATACTTGCTGTACCATTCGTTTCTTTCCCTCACCAGACGCATGACTAAGTCCTGCAGTTCCAGTAGTTTCATCTGCACCAAAATAAAGGGAAGTGTATGAATCATGCAGGGTGTGCAGCCCTGCCTGTGCCACAAATTTCCCAAGTTCCAAGTTAAGGGTAGCTGGAGAAAAACATGAAGGTTTGCACTGTGCAAGTGCTCCCCAGAGCTGCCCTGCTTGGAGTAGTAGCACAGAAAAGCTTCCTTGCCTTCATCTCTTCCTTATCCTGAGCCAATCTGCTGATGTACTCCTCCTTTTCCTGGTGTCTCTGTTTGAGGATAGCCCTTTGACTCTGGTATAATGCAATGTACTCCCCTGGAACAGAAGAGTTAAGGACACATGTTGGCAGGACTGGGGCACCAGCCTCATGGTGAGCACAGAACAATGTGGCACAAGGAGCCAGCAAACCCCATCCTGGGCTGGAGATCTACCCTGGTGAGGCAGCAGTGGGAGACTCAAAGTGCTTGGTAGCTGAGCAAGCTACCAAGGCTGAGGCAAGGCTGAGCAAGCTTTAGGTTGTGCAGGTGTTGCCTCAACATACCAATGGTGTCTGTTTCCCCAGACAGCTGGATGCAGCGATGCTCCAGCTCCTCCAGCCGCTCCTTCAGATCCACTTTCTCGCGCATCAGGTCTGTGAAACGGGACTGAACACAAACACTGGTGTCAACCCTCTGAGCTGCTCACACACAGACACTACCTGTGTTAAAGATAACACCCTCCATTCACTCTGGTCTGAGTCTAGGGAACAAACCTTGCTGCCTTTACAACTTATCTCCAATTCAATGCTAAAAAGGAACAGAGAGGAAAGGACGAGCTGGAGAAGGTGTGAAAAAGCATCTGCATTTTGGGGAGCAGAAGAGCTGATGACACAAAGTGCCTTTTTCACCTTCTCATTGCTGGGACAGCTCAACTCTGGTCATATTTGGCTCTAAGGCCAGAAACTACCTCCTTGACCCCACCAGGGTAAAGATAATTGGTTTGTTTTTCAGTGATTTCTTTAGAAAAAGACCCCAGATGAGTGTTGGGCCCTAAACTCAGTCTTTGAGGGGCATGAGAGGGGAGTCACTGCTGCAGGCTTTCCTGTGCTGAGACAGGCAGTGATCAGCTTTTTACGAAGTAGCTTATTGTTGTGGAGTATCTGCTCCTTACTCCCCTTCAGTGTGTCTGCGTGTGCTGTAAGGGAGTCTGACACGGGAGCAGAGCCTGGCTGAGCAGGGTAGTGGAGCTGAGAGGAGACCTTACCTGTAGTTTCTCCATGGCAGTTTTCAAAGCCTCATGAACCTCCACTGGAACAGTATCCATGGTGGAACCTGGAAGGGACCAGTGTAACACAGTTCCTCCCTGGACATGATGTTCTCACCTGATCCTGTTTCCCAGAGGCCAGTGCAGGTGGCCAAGGCTTGTCCCCGTACCCACACTGTCCCCACACTGCACACAGGTTTTACCTCCACCCAGTGCGACGTTCTGCTGCTGCTGAAGAGCTGCTATTTGGTGCAGGAGGCCCCTGCACTGCTGCCTCTGAGCTGCCAGCTGCTGCCTCATGTCTTCTCGCTCCTTCTCCACTTGGGACATGGCAGATGTCAAGAAAGCGACCTACAAAGAAGCCCAGGGTGTGCACATCAGAGCTGCATCTCAGGACTGAGGAACAGTTCAACCCATTTTATTGATGAGGATGAAACCACAGTGTTAAGTGGCTGCCCTGGAACTAAACCAGGCAGCAACAACTGCATCTCTTCCCATTCCTGAGTAGTACAAATACACAGGGTAAATCCTAGCACCCCTGTTTGATCACAGTATTTACTCGACGCCATTTCCAAATTGCCTTCCAAACTAAAGAGAACATCATCATCATTATCATCATCATCATCACAGAGAGCTACTCTGCCCACTCAGTTGTCTTCATAATTAAAGCCACTACCAGGTGTCCAGCCTGCCTTGCAAGGTTGCTGCAGAAGTCTCTGGTTTTTTTGCTGCTCTGCAGAAGAAACTTTTGAGCCTCTCTCATTGCTGCATCTCAGCTGGTGGGGGTCACAGCTGGTAAACAGCCAGTGGAAACTCTGCAACTTAACCTGCCTCCTTTTCTAAACATTTGGAACTGAAAACAAAGGCTTTTATTTTAAAATAAATTTTAAGACTCACCATTTCTTCATGGCTTTCGAACTTCTCTGGAATCACAAATGAAGGTGTTTGGATTTCTTCAGTCATTGCTTCACTTTCAACTCCATCTCCTGTAAGAGGAGGAAGGTGAACAGGGAGGTGACACCCTGGAGAGGCCAGCTCTGCCTGCTCCTTGGAGACCAGCTGCAGCTACTCACCCTCTAGTCGGTGCAAAATCCTACCATCCAGGTCTGCTGCCAACTGACTGATCTGGGCCTGCAGCTCTTGGTTCTCCTTAGCTACAGCTTCCAGGTTTTCCTGCAAGAGAGAGGCAGGAGATCACTGATACCTGTGGAAGCCAGACTGCAAACAGTCCCTAGGTGTTCAGGAAGCAGCCCCACACACACAGGAAGCAGAGCTGCTGCTCCAGACAAGTCTTAATTCACCTGTACTGCACAGGATGTAACCACAGAACCATAACACAGTCCAGGCTGGAAGGGACTGTGACACATCATCTGGTCCAACCTTTCACTTCATTAATACTTCATGCAGTTCAGCATTTTTCCTCCCATCTTTCCACTCGCCCCTTTTTACCAGTACCTTGGTCTGCTGCAGCTCTTTCAGGTGCATTTCCACTGTCACCTTCCCCTGCACCTCCTCGTGCTGCAGCCGATCCATCAGCTGTGTCTGGAGCAGGTATTGCTTGTGCAGCTCCTCCCTCTCGGCTGCCAGCTGCTGGTAGGCCAGCATGTACTGCTGCAGGTGGCTGTAGTACTGGTCCCTCTGCTCCTGCAGCCCCCGAGCCTCCTGTGTTTTCAGTTCCAGCTGAGGTAACAACATCAAATCACCACATCAGAATATTTCTGCCAGGGAAGCTGATCCATGTGTGACGTGATTCAAGCTGTCAACCTTGCCCCAAAGCCACCGACCAGGCAGGCAGCTGCCATCTGCCCCCACATGCTGGTCCCCACATTAGACAGCAGATGATGGGAGAAGTCTCCCAGCTTGATCATTACCACACCGATTTCCATCCTTCCATCAAAGTCTGGGAAGTTGCCAGCAGTTTGCATAAACCTGCCCTGCCATCCCACCAGCTGTCCCTTACCGTCTCCGTGAGTTCCCCCAGCTTCTCCTGCAGCTGCCCAAGCTTCTTGGCCAGCTCTTTCTTTACATGTTGCTCTGACTGCAGGGCACTTGTAACCTCCATGTTTTCATTTGTCTGCAAGACAGATACCACTAGGTAAGGAAACTGCCCCAACCAACATCAACCTATACTCTTAATAAACCATGTTAATACCTCATACAAAAGATGCCACCCCTTGTGTTACTCTGGGGTGTAACCAAGGGCCAGAAACTGACTGTTCAGGGCAGTATATAACTTACAGAAAGGTTGAGAAGATGGAAGAAGAGCAAGGAAAGAACCAGGGGAATCAGTGCTGGGACAGTGCCGAGAAGAGGCCTGGCACATCACACAGCCTGTCAGCTCCACAGCAGATGGGTGGCATGAACATCCCAAACAGTGCCACAGCCATTCAAAGATCAGAGGAGTTCAGAAAGGACTAAGAAAAATCAGCAGCTAGACCATATGTCAGCCTGCCAGGGCCCTAAAGGGGAAGCTGTTACACTGGAAGAAGCAAGGAAAGCAAGGATTCAGCTCAAGGACAGGTAAGAACAACTGCAGCAAAAGAGAAGACTGCTGAGAACTTCTTCCTTATGGGCAAACACAGAGAACAGAACACAGGCATGTTCAAGGCTGAAAGGGCAGGAGGGATACACAGGGGAAAGAAAAAGCCTCACTGCCAGAGGATGAAAGGGAGCAGCAAGCTGCTCTGGACAAAGATACTGGTTCATCAGCCAGAGCACCTGAGGGAGTATGGAAATACAGGAACCTCCTGGGATGGCAGGATCCCAGGAGACAGAGCATCCATAGCCTCAGAGGGCAAGAGAAGGCTAATGCTGCTGCCAGTTATTTACATCTGTGCTACAACAGGACTGCACCAGTGAGGGAAGCAGTGGGAAAAGGTGCACGGAAGAAACATACCAGCTTGACAAACCCATTCTGCAGCTCAGCCAGCTGCTCCTTCAGCTCCCGATTCTGGCTCAGTGCCCTGCTGATGGTGGCCTTGTCACTCTGCATGTCCTCCAGGATCTGCTGCCTGTCCACAGCCTCCTCGCTGTAGCGCTGCACCGTCTTCTCCAGCTCCAGCAGCCGCTCCTCCTGCTCCTGGTTGAGGTGGCTCAGCTGCTGGTTGTCCCGGACCTGGGCCTGGTACTGCCCATGCAGTTCTTCCTTCTCTTGCTGCAGCCTCTGGATCTCCTCCTGCAGGCTCAGCTCGGCTGCTGAGGGCCCTGCTGGTGAGGAAGGCTCAGTATCCATCGGCTGAACTGCTGAGGCAATGGAATCAAAGGCAGCTCAGTCACAGGGCTCAAGGGCTGTGCAATACACATCACTGCACACAGCACACCCTGCAGGGCTCTGTGACCCACAAGGCATCACCAGCTGCAGTTCCCAGTCCTTGCCATAGGGCACTGAGAGGAACGAAGGTGCAGAGCTACCCCAGAACCAAGCGCAGGATCCTGCCATGGGCGACTCCCTCACAGCCCTAGCAAGAACCTCCTGCCCTCCCAAACTCCTGGGCCAGAGAGGCTGACAGTTCAGTCAGGCATACACGAACAACATAAACAATCTGGTCAATTAGTTGAAGTAGTTCCCTTGCTGTGTGCTAGGAGGAAAGGTTTCCTAGGGTCACCAGGCTTCCAGCTGCCTTCGCAGCTTTGGAGCATCAGACCTGCCTGCACCTTGTTGTGCACAAGTTCCTGCACAGCAGGGACTGAGTTAACCAGCTGCTGCTCTGCAGTGTGAGGCCCCACTCTGGAAGCCCTACCTGATTTGCTCAACAGCTCTGTAATTTTGGCTTCCAGCTCCTGAACGTGGGCCACGTGCTTCTCCTTCTCCTCTGCCATGGTGTGGACCTGCAAGGCACACAGGTGTAAGTTAAAACAATGCTCATGGTGTGTTTACTTGGGCCTGTCAAAAGCAGCTGTGACAGTGTTACCTGCTCAGAGAGCTGCTCCACCCGCTGCTGCCAAACGCTCCTCTCCTCCTTCAGCTTCTCCACATACTGATCTCTTTCTGCCTGGAGCTGGTGAAGTGACTCAGAGAGCTGTTCAAAAATAAAACACCAAGAAAATCACATTGACTGCATAAATTTGACAGTGAGTGCTTAAGGGATAAAGCTTGAGGAAACCAGTGTTAAAGCAAAGCTCAGGCTGCATTTTTCTGCCACACAAGTTTCTTTACAGACATCAAGGTTTGGATCATGCAGCCCCTACCTGAGCAATCTGGGTTTCCAGGCTGGCCTTTTCCTCCAGTGCCATCTGCAACTGCTGGTTTGCATCCAGACTCCCTGTCTGATTTGAGAACTGCCAACAACAACAAAAAACAAACAAAAAAGTTATGGCAAGATGTTAATACTGAGTTTCTGGGCAGCCTTTCCAATGATAGTAACCTGCCACATGATCCACACTGTAACTTTCTGGAGTTCTTTCAAGTGCTCCAACTCACAGTAAAGTTCAATGAAAAAAAAAAAGGGAATTAAAATTAAAAAGGCTTAGATTTTACCCCTGTAAAACAGGCTGAATTGGGCAGCTCCTCCCTACCAATATTGTAGTTACTGGGTTTTTTTAATTAAGAAAGTAGGCTATAACGAAACAATTTGGCTCAGAAACTGTGTGCATTCCCAGAGTTTGTATAACGCAGCCAGATCAGACTGTGTAAAAGCTGATGACCTTAAAAGTTGTCAAACACGTCGGGAATTTCAAGCCAATGTCTGGAACATGTCAGTGGGCTAAGCAGCAAGGCCAGTTCAGTTGACACACAGTACTTTTTCCAGGAGAGAAGCAGTTGGCTTTATTTCAAGGGTAACTTAAGCCACTGTCTGGGGGGAAGAAAAAAATACAGAGCAGTTTCTCCCTTCACAGGCTCACCTCAATACCAAGAGTGCTCTCTGAACAGCTTCCAGCTGGTTTCACACATCCCCTTTCTAATTAGCTGCTTCTTCTAACTTTGCCCAGCTGACCTTCAAGTTGTCATTGTCCAGTTCACCTTCTGTGCCAGGGTGGGGACAAACATCACCCCTGCTCAACTGGTTTCTCAATGTGACTGCACAACAGCTGAGGAACCAAAGTGCTGAACAGACACAAACAGGAAAAGTCCTTCCATCTACTGCTCCAACTCCTTAGAATATTGACCTTCTGTTCCTTAGAGGCCTCACTGAAGGCCTGTCACTAAGTGGATGTCTTGACAGGATTTTGTGCTCTAAATGCAATAGCTGGGTCTTGTGCCCACTGGCAGAAGCAAAGTCTTCCACTGATCAGTGTGATCTACCCTCACAACCCACAAGTATTGTGTTTACCTGTTGAATCATCAGTTCGGCCATTTCCAGTTTCTTATGCAAATCCTCCATATCCAACTTCATAGCTGAATTCTTGGAAACCAGGGAGTGAACTTTCTCTGACAGCTCTGAATTCTGCTGCTTTATTTCCTCACTACTTTTGCTGAAACAAACAAACAGAAGTGGCATCACTGTATGTACTGTGGCTCTCCTGGTGCCCCTGTCATCAACTCACAATCCAGTTCTTCACAGCAGCCAGAATCACAGAAACAGCACAGATAGTGACCTTTTTTTCTAACTGACTGTCCAACCTCCCAAGTCACCACCTTGGTCTGTGCCCCTTGTTGTGTTTTGTGGCTCTGTGGAGAGGGGTGTTTCTCTGCAGCAAGGAGCAGAAGGGACTTACCTTTGTTTGTACAGTTCCAGTTTCAGGTCGTCTCGCTCCTTCACTAACTCTTTATTATGCTGGAGAAAAAGGAAATTACTGATTCAACTACAGACTTTAGCCAAACAAGTAAGATGTTAAAAAAAACCAAAACAACAACAAACAAAAACCAAAAACAAACTTCAACTTTAGCAGATCAGCTGACGTGGAAAAGGTGGTAACTTTGGCCAAATCCCCAGGACAGGTTTGCTTAGAAACCTCCTGAATTTGCCAGGAGTAATTCTGCTCAGTCCTTTCAAATGTGATGCTGCTAACTGAACATGAGGTTATTTCTGCAAACTCCTGGATTCAAAGCACTACTAAAGTGTCTGTCTGATGGGAGACCCTCCTGGGACAAGGTCCTAGTGAGGTTTCTGGTATGTGGAGCTGGCTCAGGTGCCAGATCTCAGGACAGCAATTGGACCATATGATTAGTAGTCACAGAAACCTGAATGAAGTTTGCTTTGATCATAGAGAACACAGGCCTTTAAATAACAATTAACAAGGTTAATTTCTGCTTCTCTAAGCAGGCACCACTGACTCTGGAGGAGTGACAAGCAAATGCTTCTGCTGGTTAAGCATAAACAGAGGTGACTCTTACCTTCTCTGACTGCTTCTGCTGCATAGAGATGGAGGACAAAGTGCGTTCCAGCTCAGACACCCTCTGGCGAGATGAATGTAAACGAGCAGCAAGGCTTTCAGCTTCTCCTGAACAAGTCAGAGCAGAGTCACTTGAGGCTGGACCACAAAGCTTTTTGGAACTGGCTGAACACAACCTTCTACTTTCTCAGCAAGCTCCTAAGGCAGCACAGGGCTTTGTAAATAAGTAAACCTGGTTCCACTCCTGGCTCTAGAAGAGAATCAACTAGCAACTCTGGGCAGTAAAGGTCTCTGGAACTGCCTTTTTCACTTTCAAAGGAGATGATGAAACTTCCTTTGCAGAACAACAATATGTTGTTTGGAATTTTTTTCCCCTAATAGAATAAGTTGCTCAAATTCAGTTCCAACACAAAAGGATCATGTAAAACCTAAGTTAACATGACAGCTGTGTGGGAGGGAGGGTGGAGAAAAGGGAACAAGGTTGTAAAAGAAAGAGAAGAAAGTCAGAAAGGAGCAGTCTGGGGTAATCAGCAGGCCCAAACAGGGCTGACAAGGCTTTGGTGAAGCACAAAAGAACCTCAACTGCCATGGGATCAACATGGTTCAATCTGGGGGCAGCTGTGATGAGGGAAGCAGTGACAGTGCCAAGTGTTGCTCCTGAAGGAGTCAGGGAGTGCTGAGCTGGCTGCCAGCAACCATCAACCCTCTGACTTGAAATCCACAGTTTAACCAGCAGCAGGAGCTGGAGCTCCCAGTCAAGTTACCTGATTTCTGCCGAGCTGCTTGCTGAGTGTGTCCAAGGACTGTCTGCAACTCAGACTTCTCAGAAACCAGAATTCCAATGGTCTGGATATGAACCTTTGGGAAAGGAAAACCAGCTCAGTGCAAAACTTCTTTGCTTGTAACTGCAATGTCCCTGCTGCCAGGCAGGGGTAGTTCAGTGCAGGTGAAGAGCTCTTTGCAGTTCAGCACAGCAAACTGGCTGACTGCCAGTTCTCCTGAAGGAAAACTCGTGGCTTCCAGGATGAGGACTAGGAGTGGTCAGTCATCCAGAAAAAAGCAGAAGCCATGTGACATTAATGGAGGATGTGCCTTACCTGTAGCTGTTCCCTCAGTGCTGCCTGCTCTTTAGAAAATTTCTGTTCAAACTCCTTCTTTTCCTAGATAAAAAAATGCCTATTCAGCACAGAAATTGAAACAGTTAACCCTTGGTTTATGTCAAATTCAAAAAGCAGTGATTCATTGGTAGTACTTCCAGCATCTAAATCATACCAGTATTTTTAAAGACATACTTCAGCCTTCCATTATCTGAACTACTTCATTATTTACTCATTCTAAAATGGCAATGATAGCCTAGTGCCACCACTGCTGGCAGAAATGTGGCAGTGTTTGGGATGCAAGGTACTGGCAAGGGCTTAAACTGCCTCCACTGCACTCCTCCAGTACCTGAGCATCTAAATAATAGCTTTTGACAATTTAAGAATGCTACCTGCCAGGCCTCACTCATGAAGTCAAAAAATCCAACCTTATGCCACAAATGAAACTGAATCTAACATAAAAGCACACATGCCTGTGCCACAAGCCCACTGTGCTCTCATAGAATGGTTTGGGTTGAAAGGGACCTTAAAGATCATCTAGATCAAATCCCCTGCATGGGCAGGGACATCTCCCACCAGCCCAGGCTGCTCCAAGCCCCATCCAACCTGCCCTTCAACACTGCCAGGGATGGGGCAACCACAGCTTCCCTGGGCAACCTGGGCCAGGCTCTCACCACCCTCACACTAAAGAATCTCTTCTTAATTTGTAACCTAAATCTCCCCTCTTCCAGTTTTGATCCATTAGCCCTTGTCCTCTCACTACAAGCCCTTCCATAAACCTATTTCTGTATCCATCAAAAAATAGGACACACTTTACCTTCTCCAGCTGATTCACTGCTTCTTGTTGTTGCTGTTTCTATGGAAGAAAATTGTTGTGCCAGTATTAAGAGAAAATACTCTCATACTGCTGAAACACACTATAATGAAGCAGGATACATGCTCAATTAATGCAAACAGAATTTCCATTATCCTTCTGTAGAGGACTAGGAAGTTCCTATTGGCCATTAAAAATAGTAGATTTGGGGCTCCCTTCATTAATATACTTGATATGCCAGATGTGTTTTTCATTGCTCAGTACATTACCACAGTTCTTCCCAAATATGACCCCTGAAACCCCTCTATGTTTGTATCTGAGCATGCACCAACTTCAGTTAAACTTGCATCTCACGTCTGTGAAATTCATCATAGAATCCTGGTGTATGAGGATAATCACCAAAAATGCTTTTTTAAAAAGACCCCAAGAAACCCAAACAAAAACCAGATTCTTTTCCTTTAACTGAGCATTTAGACCTTTATCCCACTTAACAACTGGCCCTCAAGTCATGCAGAGCTGCACGTATGTTGGCAGGCCCCTGCAGAAGGTGGTATGAGAGAGAGCTGAGCCAACAGCAAAGAAAGGGGATCATTCTGTCTTGCCAATTTCAATCCTAGGGGTGAAGTTTCCCTTCCAACTTGGGATACCCTGTGATTATAAGTATTTGGGGATTTGCTGACTGTACATGCTGCATTCCTAGAAGGAGAGGGTGAAGGAGACAGAAGTGGCAGCTGTCTACCCAAGCTGCCACACAACCCGTGCTGTGTTTGCCACTTGCTTGTCCCCCTGGCATTTTTCTTACAGATGCACCATCAGTAACTCCATAATTAGCACTTTTTCCCCTTCCCAAATAGCAGACATTGGCCAAGGTGTTTCTTTACTACTGCTACTTCAATTTGTTTTGAAACATGGCTGCAGAGGGAAGGGTGATGAGTTAGAGGCTTTGATTTTAGCAATGCCAGTGGACAAGATAACCAGGAAAAGCAAAGGCAAGGCCACAAATGCAGCACAGGCCCTAAGAGTTCCAGGCAAACAAGGAGAATCTTGGGTGGGAAAAGCACTATACCAGGTACCTCTGCAGCCCTTTGTCTAAAAGACAAAAAGAAACAGAGTGGAACAAAACCAACACAGATCCCAAAATAAAACAAGGGTCATGGGGTACACTGGGAAATGCTGAACTTCGGGAAAAGGGTAGTTTGAGAGAGGAACAAAATGGGGAAAGGTATTTCACATGAGAAAGGATCTTTTCAGGCTGAATCCAGGCCATTGAGCTGCATTTCTTGCAGTGTTAAAGCTGAAGGCTGAAAAGCAGCTGCAGGAATCCATGCAGACCACAGGACAAAGCAGTTCATGCCTGGTGCCAAGAGAAGCTGAGGATATGATGAGAAACCAGCCCCGGGCTCTCTCCTAGACCTATTGCTCCCACTCTGCTGATATATTTAGAACAGCATCACCACCTGCAGAAACAGGTTTTCACACTGCTTCCACCACCAGAATTCTGTATTTCAAGGATTCAGACCAGGACCAGAAATAGCTGTTTTATCAGGATGCTTATCATCCAGGGAAACACGATGAGATCAATAGAGCCCATTTAAATGGAAACAAAACCCCCCCTGTTTCTTGTTCCTGAGATGAGCCAATACATTCACAAGTGGCCTTAGTCTTTGATCCTCTTAACAGGTTTTCCACACAGCCCATTTTGTTTCTTACAAAGTGCTGTGGAATCAGCCTTCCCTGTGGCACTAGGAGAGAACCTATAGCCTTGCAGACACCCAGGGAGCATAAACAGCAGCAAAGACAATGTCAAACTGGTTGGTTGGATTGTTTCTTACCAATTCCTCTATCTTTGTAACGAGCTGTTTGTTAGTTAGATTGCTGGAATCCAGGGCTACTGCCAGCTCCTGGTAACGTGTCTGATGGGCACATGCAGACAGGAGAAAAAGGAAGGAGCAGAAGAGGAGAGGGGGAGGAAAAAAGCAATCATTAGAAAGGACAGAAAAAATATATCATTATCACAGTTTAATATAATCAGATTCTCCAAACAAAACCTACAGTTTCAACAAAAGCAGCTGGGACATCAATGTATTTTATCAATTCTGCTGAGGCTTCATTTTGACATAAAAGTGCATCAGAAATAAGAACTGCAGTTGCATGGAAGCCAAATCATCATCCCCAGTCCCCAAACTGGAAACACCTCCAATACCTGCCTCTTACTGCTGACCACAATTACCCCCTTACAGCACAGCCCTGGACAGGATGTATGTGAACTGTGCCTTCAATTAGGTCTGATTAACACTGCTGCAAGCACTACAGTCCCAGCAAGTGATCAGCAGTAGCAAATAAGAAAGAAAAAAGAAAGACTGAGAACAACTTACTTCCATTTCCTTAATATTTGTGGAAGCAACAGCACTTTCCCCATTCACATACGACGTGGACTAGAAGTAAAGCAGTCAAGTAAGTCAGTTTTATTCCTCAAGGAAACAAAACACTATTAAGTCAGACCCAACTATCATAATACTACTTCTCAAAGCACCTTCCACTTCCAAGTATCACAGACAGGCACAGAAAACACTTCCCTGGCTCAGGACAGCTGCAGACTCCCCCTGTGAGCAGCTGATGTGAATTATGGAGACTGACTTCAGGTTCTTCTCCATTAAACCCAGAACACATCTTCCCATGAATACATGCTGTTCATTCATCCCACTCTGCTTTTCTTCCTACTGCTGCAATTCTACATTCCTAAACCAGGAAGTTTTGCTTCCCAACACTTCAAATATCTTACTGTTTAGTAGGATGACTGCAAAGACCTCTGAGATGGAAGAGTGTTTCCTTGAGCTGACTGCTTAAAGCTCCACATCAAACATCCAGAGGATTAATAGGACAGATGGATCAAAATGAGGCCATACCTGAGAAACCAGGCCATTGAGTTGTTCAGACAACTGGCGGAGACCTTCTGTTGATGAGAAAGACCTGGGAACAAAAGGGAACCTTGAAATGAAAATTCCTCAGAGAGAACCACCCCAATCAGAACAGCACTGGTGTGGAATAAATCCTTGTTGGACACTGGGATCGTGCTTTGAAGCTGTTTGATAAACACTCACCTGTTCTCATCCACAGCATTTTTATGATCCTCAGTTTCATGAATCTGTGGATTGAAACACAAACATTTACAAGCCTGTAAAAGGAGATGGGAGTCACATTTGTGGACGTGTCACTAAGACCTGATTACCTGGGCTCAGGTTCCACAGCATCTGTAATTACCACTTCCCAAAGAAAGATGAACTTAAAACCACCAACTCAGTCCTGGCTTACACATAATTTCTGGGTGGTGTGAGTCTGGGTTTCTTGGAATGAAGAAACTTAAGTGTTACAAGCTTTGTAGTTGCTGTTACTGTTTATCAGTACAGTCAATACTTTGCTGGGAAGAAACTTCAACTAAATCTTTTAAGTAGTGAAAGGAAATGCAGATTGATCTGACTGGAGACCTTCTGTCTTATTAAAGGCCTAATTAAGTAGGAGTGAAGAGGAAGGAAAACAGCAGCTTTGGGTGATGCAGTACTGTCTCTGCTCTCAGAAAGATGATGATGAGATGGAGAGTGGAGAATGCAGGAGAAAATCTGAACTAGTCATGTCATATTTATGAAGATCATCCTCCTCAGAAAACCTGTGTTATCACTAACCAGTATGTAATGGTTGAATGGCAATATTCATGATGATTCACAAACCTGTGTCAGCTGCATGCTCTCAGGAGCAGGCAGAACAGAACCACAAGCAGGGAGGCTGTTGCTGTTAGATAGCACAGGGACATCAGGAGCAAGCTGTTCAGCACTACGAGTGGCAACATCACTGTCAAAGTATGCCTGTCACAAAACACAGCACAGGAATTACAGCTCTCATGCAAAATGAATGAAAACACACCTGAAAACATCACCTTTTGATCTGTCTGTGAAAACTAGACAGATGTGAACAATCAATCGTTTACAAACATGGAAAGGAATCTGTGTTCTCCCCAGAGCAAAGAGGTGACTGCAGGGACACCATCCCAGACCTGTGCCCTCTTGGAGCCAGGCTGAAGGTTTGCTGTATCATAATCAAACTTGCTTCTTTAATGCAGGGCAATAATGTCACCCAGCTCTACATTCACACACTAAATTCACTGCAAAAGAGTCACAAAAATGCAAGTGAGGGCAAAGCCAGATGGTAGTCACTCTGCAAAGCACTACCTTCAAGATGTGTCTGGGGAAAACATGGATCACTGTACACAAATTAAGATGGAAAAGAACAGGTTAGTGACTACATGAAAACCAGGTTAGTCAAACTCAAATGCTCTGTCTAAAGCTTGGTGGAATTTGTGGCAGGTCATGAACCACAAGTTTAGAAACTGGACATTGATGAACAGGCCAAGCTCAGTGTGGCTGGGACCAGGGGTCTGTGTCCCCCAGGTCTGTAGCCCCATGACTAGGAGAGTCTAAATGGGAAAGAGAAGGGCCAAAAAACTCTTTCTGGACAGCAGTGCTGTTCATCCTCCCACAAAGGCTGGATCAGAACTGTTTTGTACAGCATCAGAGAGCCATGAAGGCCCAGAGCAGTGTTCCAGTTTCATCATCCAGCTGTGGCAAGTCAGCATTTAACAACACTACGAAGTAAATGAGATAATCCTTCAACACTCAACCCCACCAATACATGGCAGCTCTCTGTAATTCCACCTGAAAGTGTTCCTTCTTACTTCAGTCACTCCTTCTTGGCACTTCACAGGAAACAATAAATCTCTCTTGGCATTCCCTGATTACCTGCTCAGCTCTTCATTCATGAATCAAGCAGCAGGAATGCAGTACCAGTGAAAAGAGATTAATGAAAGCAATATGCTAGAAGACTGCAGAGGGACACAAACAATGTTCTCAATTTCTTTTTAGCAGAACAAATACTTGGGCTCCCAAGGATCAAGTCCAGTGCCTACAGGAAGGTCAGGAATTCCCCTTCTTCCTTCAGCTCCAGGTTACTTCACCTTTACTGGTTCAGACACTCCTCAGTATAGAACAGCAAATGGAGGGAATATCATCCCCTGTACATCTCAAAAATGTTTCCTTAATTTTTCCTATCAGGACATTCTTTTTTCTTAATGCTTCAAGATGCAAAGAGCAGCAATGTGCCTTAACCACCAGAACTCCTTCCTTCTTCCTACACTATAAGCACTTTTAAAATATTTTTTTAACAAACAAAATCTATTTGAACAGCTGAATTTGTTAGAAAGTTAGGAGCAAAGCAAATCTCATCTGGAGATTCTGCATTGTGAGGTTCTAATAATGTTGAATAAAAAGTCAGTAATTCTGCTCAGCTTTGCATATAGTTGGGTTCATTTGCTTTCACACAGAGGCTCCTGTTTTGTTGGGTTTTCTGTCCCTCACAGCCAAGAAGGATGAAGTGGGTGAGCTGGATTATTTTCAATTACTCCTAAAACCCCAAGCACAATAATCCACAATTCCCATAACAGCCAATGGGATCAAAATGTATCTCTCCATGCTAAGGAAGCAGAGGGAATAAAAATAATTGGGAAAACAAGAATTAATAGAAGTAATAAATTGTCCATTTTCAGAATGAGACTAAAACTGCAGACACAGGCAGGCCTTCCCTGCCAGACCAAATGCCACAACACAGGAGCACCCATCTTCATCTCACCCTCCAACTTGCAACAAGTCTCTTTCTCTGAGATCTAATTTACACCAAGTTTACAAGTATTAAGTGAAAAGAGTCCCTAGGACAAGAGAAACTTCAATCAAAACACACTTTTTTATGCTAAATGGGTACATCCAGCACCCACAAAGCTGACAATGGGTCTTCACATCAAGTTCTACTGACACACAACCTACACTTGTAAGGTACAGGTGGGAGAACTTTCTCTGTTCACTCTGTGTGTTGGACAGAACAGCTGCTGCATGACCACACAAAAATAAAGGAGAAAAGGGACACCAAGAGTGAACTCCATTCCATCTTGCAGGTTTCACTGCATCTGTCTGGTACCCCTGGTGATTGCTACATTTACATTTACTGCTGGAGACACGTGGATATGCAGTAAACAAAATAATGAGTTACTACATTGATACAATGGTAGGGAAACAAGCTACCAAAATGATGCCAGTGCAAAGGAACAGCCAAGCTTTGGTACAACAAAACTGGAAGGAAATTCTGGGCTACAACATTTTACTTCTCTGAGTTTCTATCACAATTTGAGCCTTATTTAAATAAACTGCCTGTCTGAAAATATTTTTTTTTAAAGGCTGCTTATGTTTGCTCCTGAACATGTTGCTATTGCTTGCTGGCATACTTCCTGCCCCTTCCACAAGCTTGGGAACATGAAGACACTGAAGCCTGTAAATGCTTGACTTGAAGTATTTGACTTCCTGCCCAAACACATTCAAAGCCACAGTACTTGCCAGACTGTACATCACCTGTGCCAGTTTCAGTGCCTGTCATCAGATGGGTTGGCTGGAGCAACCAGACAGCTTACTCAGGGCAGCTGCTTGCCTGGAGATGGGCAGAAACTTGCCCTTCAGAACTAGGGCTCTTGAAAGCCAAGGAATGGCAGGAGAAACACGGACTAAGAAAACACTGCCTCTTCCTACTGCAGTTTTTTCCTCGGTGGTGGTTAATTTATTGCCTCACCCCAAATTCCTGGTTTTCCTCAAAGCTCAGCTGTCTCCAGGAGGACTTTGACAACACTTTTTCAGGTGTTAAGTTTGACACAAACCAGAAGGAAAACGAGCACTTAGGAGCAATGGAAACGCATGTTAACAACCAGCCTCATGTTAGTAAAAACCACAACAAAACTCAAGCCACTGACAGTGGAGGTGTCAAGGACAAGGCTCCATCCCAGCAACCAAGGTCAGTGTGAACAGAACCCGAAGCATGCAGGAGGGAGAGGGACACGAGCACTGCCTCACCTTCCTCTTGTCCAATGAGGGTATGGCTACCCCATTGGAGCGGTTAAGGTCTGACACCAGCACCTTCAGAATGTTCTGAATCTACAGGAGGCGAAAGAAAAGGGGAAAGAGAAACAGCTCAGAAAAGGAGAGAGAGAAAACGTCAATCAAAGGCAGCCCAAGAAACCACCATCCTCTGGCTTGCTGGGAGCACGTGCCTCCAAACAGCAGCTCTGACACACAGAGGGCTGGGTGAGTGCACTGCATGACCTGACACTGCTTCAGCTCATGCTCTGGCTCTCACGTGCATCTTCCAGCAGAGGTTGGACCCAGATGATCTTCAGGGTCCCTTCCAACTCAAACCATTCTATGACAGCTGCTAACTACTGTAACACCCTGCTTACACTGGTGATACAAGCATCTGTGCCACTCACACATCGCCCAAACCTAACTCTTTCCTGGCTCTAATCAATGTTGTTCAGGAAACCAAAGAACAAGAAGGTGAGAAATCATTTGGGAGAAAGAATGAGAGACACTCACGTTCTCTGGAGGCTGCAGGTCATTGCTGGGGGGTGTCTCAGGTCTACTGTCTTCTTTAGTTTTGCGTTTTTTCTTGGTTCCTGCAGCTGCTCCAGGGCTATTCTTCTGTTGATATTCCTTCAGCTATGAAAAAAGATCAATAATCTGAAGCCCAAAACCAGAATATTGCTTCTATAAGCATGTAAAAAAACCCCAACAACCCAAAAAAAACCAAAAAACAACAAACTCCACTGGATAAAAATACAGATCAAGGGTAAGGACAAAAGAAACACTCTTTGATGAGTTTATCCCTCTGGAGAAAAAACAATTAAAATCCAAACAAGTCCAGGGAAGTCTGAAGTAAGAATTACTGGGATGGATTAACAACAGGAGGCAAAAAATTGTAAATATTGTAAACTTTGGTGAACAACTAGTGATGTTCCTGGGGAACAATCTGATACTCCATACTGCAACTAAAAGGAGATTAAAAGAAATACTTGGTGGGTTTTTTTAGGGATATAACTAAGACTAATATGAAAAAAACATCAAAGGGCAATTGATCCTGAGTGCAAAGTGAAAAAGCAGTGCCTGACTGTAAGATCTTCCACTCTGTGAAAGGGGTTAAGAAAGAAAATGACAATCCCCACAGACAGGCAACACAATCATACAGATTCTGCACCACTTGTGAAATAAGGGGATAAGCAATCTACAACTGATTTTTAAACCTTATCTGTTTTGCCCAGCAAAAGCTGGTCTGATAAGCTGTAACTTGAATCCTGCTCGTTCTTCCGGCTTTTTCCTAGATGTTATGGAACACCCGAACCCCACCCCAGCGAGCCCCAGGCCTTTATGTAAAGAAGCCGTTTTCCCCCAGCAGCTCAGCCAGAGCCCCCCGGCCAGAGCCAGGCCCCGGGCGGGCGGGGGGGGTGGGAAATAGAGAAGAAGAAGGATCCCATTATTTGGAGGATTTCAAAATGGAAGCCTGAGCTGCTCCAGGACACTTTCCCATTCCTATGACTTTGACACGGCGGCACATCCCGCCGGGACGCGCTGGGCCGAGTTGCGCCGGGAGAAGAAAATGAGGGGGGGAGAAAAAAAAAACACTAAAAAAAAGGAAAAATAACCAAAAAAATAAGGAGGAGGGGAGGG